TTGTGTTAACAATTTGCCAAGGACTGTGTGAAGACCTGGATAACTAGCTAAAAATTTGGTTTGTTGTGCAGTGAAAACTTAGCCGTACGTCATAACTAATATCACCACTTATTATCCTTACTTTGCATCAAAAGCAAGTTCATAAAAATACAATACAGATACATGTGTAATATATTTTTTTTTGTCTGACAAAACTGATAAAAATTTATTTTTTTATTAAATTTATTTATCCGATTGGAGATTTTGTAAATAGTTTTGAGCAGTCAATCATTTACGAAAAACTTTTATTGTGACACATTAATTATTATAACAAAAAAAAAATTTTAAAATGAAATATTATGGGCAATGCCCCGAAGAAACTTTATAGTTGATCTAATGTTACGGTCATTTAATACTGTTTGAATCCGTATTCCACGATTACGATCTTGTGGTTTCTGTGGGAGTCGTGGTGTTCCGCGCAAGACCATTTCTACGTCAAGTTCGACTTTACTTAGATTGTCGGTAAAGTGTCCTGTCGGCAAAGCGTCCTGTCGGTAAAATGTCCTGTCGGTAAAGTGGGTGTCGGCAAAGCGTCTTGTCGGTAAAGTGTCCTGTCGGTAAGTAGGTGTCGGTAAAGTGTCCCAGACCTTTCTCGTTGCAATATGATGATTTTAGTGTTTTTTAGTCACGATTTTTTCACAACTGGTTATTTATTACCTGAAAAAATCTCTCTATACAGTCAAACTAGATATATTATACTACAACACACTCGAAAATGAAAACGACATGACTTTTTTTCATTGACTAGTGGGATTATGAAAAATATGTTTTTATTATACCCGTTACATTATTTGCAATTTTTGATCGTGACTTTTTCATCCATGGTGTTTGTTACCTTCAAAAATCTCTCTGTACCGATAAACTAGATATATTGTACTATTCATACTCAAAGTTGGAAATAATATATCTCTTTTCCACAGGCTAGTGGCATTTTGAAAATATTATTTTATTTATTATTTTCTTTGCTTTGTCGATCATTAAAAAAAATAACTTATTGATTGATCGACACTATATGACATTACTTAATTTTGATTTAATTAGACTGTAACACCCTCCAATGACTGAAGGTACCTTTTGCAGCATGGTGGAAGTTTGATTTTATTGGATATAAAATGTGACAAAATAAAATTTAGGATTTTACCAAAATTAGAAAAGTTTAAGGAAAATCAAGATTTATATGGAACGTGTAACGTTGATCACAGCGAACAAAAA